GACCGCCAAGCAGGTCCTGCTGGGTGCTGCCTGCCGGCGCACTTGCCTGCTGGGCTCACGTTGCCGGGGTGATGTTGCCAGCTTCCTGCCCTGGCCACTATGGGCGCCGGCGTCTTTGTTGTGGAGTGACGGTTAATTTGCATATTACTTTTTTATTAGATAGAAAGGATAAGTTAGGAACTTTTCCTACCCTTTTAAAAAATTTTTGTAATGGCCATATTTTTCTTGTAGGTGTGTGAACCTGTAAAATTATGACTTCCAAGATGATCCGGTATATTTTAATTGTAGGGATTCTACTTCCCCAGTCTTTGGCCCATCCAGGCTTTTTTACTTCAATTGGTAAGTCTGAACTCTTTTTTGGTTTGTATTGTTTTTGCATTTAAAAATTTCCATTTTTTTAGTGTTTTAAATCAGTAAAAAGAAATACACTGTCTTTCCAGAGACTGAAGCATTGCTTTAGTCCAATGATGGCAAACCTATGACATGTGTGTCAGAGGTGACATGCGAACTCATTTTTTTTGGTTGATTTTTCTTTGTTAAATGGCATTTAAATATATAAAATAAATATCAAAAATATAAGTCTTTGTTTTATTATGGTTGCAAATATCAAAAAATTTCTATATGTGACACGGCACCAGAGTTTAAGTTAGGGTTTTTCAAAATGCTGACACACCTAGCTCAAAAGGTTCGCCATCACTGCTTTAGTCCCTGCCCTGCTAAAAGATACTCTCTTTTTTAAATTCATTTCTTTATTTCTTTCTTTTCTTTCTTTTCTTTCCTTTCTTTCCTTTCTTTTCTTTCTTTCTTCTTTCTTTCCCTCCCTCCCTCCCTTTTTCTGTTAATCCTTACCCGAAGATATTTTTTCATTGATTTTTAGAGAGAGGGAAAGACAGAGAGAAACATTGATTGGTTGCCTCCTGCACAAGCCCTGACCAGAGCCCAGGCTGGGGAGGAGCCTGCAACCAAGGTATGTGCCCTTGACTGGAATAGAACCCAGGACCCTTTGGTGTGCAGGCCAATGCTCTATACACTGAGCCAAACTGGCTAGGTAGGGCTTGTTTTTCTTTAAATATTTTTTTCTGATTTCAAAAGCAATACATTTACAGGTTAGAAACTAATGAAAATTTAGGAAAACATAACAAAGAAAATTCTATTAATGGGCCACTGAGCATATAATTTAATGCATATACTCCATTTAAGAACCTACTGTGAATACAATATATTTTTTCCTACATCATAATATCATAATTTTTAAAAATATAGACACCAATATCATTACACTAATAATGTATATTTTAAAAATATTTTTTTGATTTTTTTTTTTTTTTTTTTTTTTTAAGGGAGAGGGATAGAGAGATAGAAACATTGATGAGAGAGAAACATCATTGATTGGCTGCCTACTTCATGCCCCCTGGGGATATGACCTGACGACTGGGAATACCAAGTGACCTCTTGATCCATGGGTCGATGCACAACCACTGAACCACACTGGATGGACCTACATCATAATTTTTAAAAAATCTTTTAAGTATTGTAAAAATAACATATTGATTAAAGGGGAAAAATCAGAGTACATGGAATATTAGACATCCACATGTCCTGTTTCCCTAGAAATAATTCCTCATGGGTTGATGTACATCCTCTTATATTTTCCTGTATGCATACTTCCTTTGTCTTAAAGCTGATGTTTTCCTTCCTTCTGGTGACCAGTCCTTGAGTGATTGTAGAGCTAACTAAAACACAAGTAATTTCAGGATATAAAATGATGAATTATCTCATCCCATTATAAATAAGTATGGGTTATTTGATTTTTGGTTGTGAAGAATACTTTTTTGTTAGTGTAGTTTTTACTTATGGAATAAAAATTTAATTCTAATTAGCTTCAGAAGTTTTTTTAAAAGGTGCCCTGGCTGGTGTGGTTGAGCATTGTCCTTTGCAACCAGAGGTTTCCAGTTAGATTTCCAGTCAGGGTACATGTTCAGATTTCGGGCTTGGTCCCAGACAGCTGAAGGATGTTTCTCTCATTGATGTTTCTCCCTCTCTCTCCTTAAAATAAATAAAAACATATTCTAAACAAATAACTAAATAAAAGGTGAGGGAGGAGTTGAGGCAGAAGAGACATTGATCCTTGGAAAGTAGTGTTGTTATATTTTTATTAAATACTAGAGGGCCTGGTGCATGAAATTCGTGCACGGCGGTGGGGGGGCGGGGTGGTGTCCCTCAGCCCAGCCTGCACCCTCTCCAATCTGGGACCCCTCAGGGGATGTCAGACTGCCGGTTTAGGCACGATCCTGCGGACATTGGATGTCTAATATTCCATGTACTCTGATTTTTTCCCCGTTAATCAATATGTTATTTTTACAATACTTAAAAGATTTAAAAAAAATTATGATGTAGGCCCATCCAGGGTGGTTCAGTGGTTGTGCATCGACCCATGGATCAAGAGGTCACTTGGTTCTTTTCCCAGTCAGGTCATATCCCCAGGGGGCATGAAGTAGGCAGCCTGCGGGATCGGGCCTAAGCCGGCAGTCTGACATCTCTCTCACAATCTGGGACCACTGGTTCCTAACCGCTTGCCTGCCTGTCTGCCTGCCTGATCGTCCCTAACCGCCTCTGCCTGCCAGCCTAATTGCGCCCTAACTGCCCTCCCCTGCCAGCCTGATTGATTGCCCCAACTGCCCTCTCCTGCCGGCCTGATCGCCTCCTAACTGCTCTTCCCTGCTGGCCTGATCACCCCCTAACTGCTTGCTTCCTTGCGCCAGCCTGATCTTGTCCCTAACTGCTTGCTCCCCCATGCCGGCCTGATCTCAATCCTAACTGCTTGCTCCCCCGTGCCGGCCTGATCTCACCCCTAACTGCTTGCTCCCCAGCCGGCCTAATTGCCCCTAACTGCTTGTTCCCCTGCCGGCCTGATCACCCCTAACCAGCTCTGCCTCGCCCCTGCCACTGTGGCTTTGTCTGGAAGGAAGTTGGAAGTCTGGAAGATGTCCGGTCGACCTGGTCTAATTAGCATATTACCCTTTTATTAGTATAGATATTTTTATTGATTTCAGAGAGGAAGGGAGAGGGAGAGAGAGATAGAAACATCAATAATGAGAGAGAATCATTGATCGGCTGCTTTCTACATGCCCCCCTCTTGGGGATCGAGCCCACAGCCCAGGCATGTGCCCTTGACTGGAATCAAACCCAGGACTCTTTAGTCCATAGGCCAACACTCTATCCACTGAACCAAACCAGCTAGAGCTTTTGTTACATTTTCAGATGAAAAGATAATTTGCCAATACAGTTCAAGCTTGCAAAACTAAGTAGCTTGAAAATTAGAATTGGAACACATGAGTAGAAAAATTTTTGGCCTTATTTTTATTTATCTGGTTTTAAAAAAAAAGGATGAAAAATATGCTCTCTCCAACATATCTGATTCATGCCAGTTAAATTGAGTCAGCATGAAGCATTCTGATTATTATTAAAGTAACTAGAGGCCCGGTGCACAAAAATTTGTGCACTCTGGGGGGAGGGGGCGGTCCCTCAGCCCGGCCTGTGCCTTCCCGCAGTCTGGGACCCCTCGGGAGATAACGACCTGCTGGCTTAGGCCTGCTCCCAGGTGGCAGAGGGCAGGCCCAATCCCTAGGTGCAGCCCCTGGTC